ACAGATATTCCTAACCTACACAGGTAGGCTTGGTGTTTGCTAGAATGATTATCCAGCCCTGAGTAACAGAATTAAAGGTTTCTCTATTAAACACAGAGGTCATACTAGTAAAAGGATTTTACAATATCAGATGGTATTAAATTATTAAACTGAATCTTATGGGAAAGGACATCTGTAACGCTAAAAGTTTAATGCTGTGTTTACATTCCTGATAACTTTAAAAATGTTAAAGATTTATATTCCTATATAAAGGCCTTGTCCACTCTTGCCTTATTATGGAGACAGCTTCTCCTGGTTAAAAAAAAAATACACACACACACACACACACACACACACATATATTTAAACTTCTCAGCCTTCACACCTCCTGGTGAGAGGACTTCTACTATACAGTGACATGTTCCAGCTGCTGCAACATTTATTCAGTACTTATGGTTTTTGTTTCTCTCATAGAAGCACCCATCCCCAGATGACTTTACAACCTGTTCTTCCCCAACCAGACTTCAAACCGAACTGACTTCTAAAAGGAAACTCCCTCATGCTGGGCCCCCTCACATCACCCCCTCTCAGCTGAGAAGAAGCCAAAACCAGCAATGTCCCTCTTCTTACAATAGTGGAGCTAAAAATAAACAGACAGTCAATATAAATAATTAATTAAGTCAGGTCAAATCAGGGAGACCGGTTTTAGGTGAGTTCAAAAGAAGTTGGAGACTGTTCCCTGAGGGATTAAAATTCTCTCAGTGCTCTGGGGGGAATGATAGACCCAGCCTGATTTTTCTCTTAAAATTGGGAGCCATTTTGCCACAAAGCCATGAAAAGATAATTTTGGCTTTACTATAAATTACTGCAAATTCTGAACTATCTTGGAATGCCTGCCCATGCCTTGAACTCACCCATGCCTTGTTATGCTCAAATTCGGTACCCCCAAAAGACCACCAGAGACCAAGATCGATGTAAGCAGCAAAGAGGTGTGTATTGCAAGCTAGCTCGGTCCTCCGTGTGTGCACACACAGCAACTGGTGACGCTGAGACGCCCGGAGCCCATGGTTTGCAGCAGTTTTATATATTCTTTGGAGAAGGCAGGGACTTCACATACATCGTAGTGAAAGGGTAAAGTTTCTAAGCTGCAAAGCCTGAATTAAAATGTAAAAGACCGGGCATTGTAAAGTTTCTAAGCTGCAAGGCCTGAGTTAAAAAGTGAAGGACCAGGTATTGTTAAGTTCCTCTGCCACACCCAGAACCTGAAATTCCTGAGGCAGTTAAGACAATGCCCTACTGGTCATTTAGCCTAGGGCCCTGTGCAGCTTGTCACATAAGCATACAGGGCCCGAACCAATCAGTTTGAATGTGTACCCCGCTTAGGAGTGATCAATCACCGTATGATCTAACTAACAATCCCACTTCTAATACATATTCATGGAAACCAAATTCATGTCCACAAAGACTTTTCATGAATGTTTGTAGAATATTATTCAGCTGTACTAAGGAAGGAAATTTTGACATATGCTACCATGTGGAGGACTCTAGGTGAAATAAGCCAGTCATAAAGTGGCAAAATTTACATGATTATGCTTAGATGACATAGCTAGTATAAGCACAAATGATGCATAAATGATGAAGGCGGTAAACACACCTCAGATCAGTAAGCTCTTCTTTATTCAGCAAAGAAGTCAATCAGTCAAACACCTGGTATGACTCATTTTGGGGACAGAAAATGGTGGCAGGCTGAAGCAAGGGTCTGGATTACACAGGCTTCACTTAGGGTGAGACAAAAGGGGAGTTCTTGAGGTTCATTGTATTAGATCCCTGAGTGTGGGACAGCAGTGTGAATATGAAATTTCCTGAGGCTTATTGTATTGGAGTCAACTGACCCATAAGGGTGGGGGGGTCAAGTGCCAGTCAGGTGAAGTACCTTTTGTATTCCTTTCTTCTGGCTGAGGCTTGGTCTTTTATTTTATTTTATTTTTTAAGAGAGAGAGAGAGAGAGAGAGAGAGAGAGAGAGAGAGAGAGAGAGAATTTTAATATTTACTTTTTGGTTTTCAGCGGACACAACATCTTTGTTTGTATGTGGTACTGAGGATGGAACTGGGGTGCGCGCATGCCAGGCTAGCACATGCCAGGCTAGTGCAATACCGCTTGAGCCACATCCCCAGCCCCAAGGCTTGGTCTTTTAAATGACAAAAGCATCAATTTTACCCCAACATCCTGGGTGGAGAAATACCTGCAGATAGGGGAAATGTCCTTGGATTTACTCTCCACATCTTTCACCTAAAGCAGTCAAATTCCTAGAGACAGAAAGTAGAATGGTGGTTTACCAGGGCTGGAGGGAAGGTGAATGGGAGTGATTGTTTCATTGTTTAGTTAAGGAAAGTGAAAACAGTACCAGAGATGGATGGTGTGATGGCTGCACAGCCATGTGAGTATGCTTGATGCCACCAAAGGTCCACTCCAATGGTTGAGGGGGAGAAATTAATATTATATATATTTTATCACTGGGAAAAAAAAGAGAAATGAAGCACTGATACATACTACATACTACTGATACACTTGTATAAACCTTGAAAATATTATTTTAAGTAAAAGAAGCCAGTTGCATAAGTCCAGCTAGCCTATGATTCCATTCATATTTTTTTAAGTTTTTTTTTAGAAGAGAGTGAGTGAGAGAGTGAGAGAGAGAGAGAGAGAGAGAGAGAGAGAGAGA